AACAATAACAAAGGAATTAAAGCAGTTAAATATTGTATAAGAAAAATAAAACAAAAATAAAGAAAAAAATAAAAGAAAATGTCAAATAAAAAACATAATTACCACAATTTAGCTGGATTACAATTGTTGTTGTTTTTTTTTCCTACTGTTAGATTTATGGCAACATTCTTGAAATAAAATTTATTAAAAAATTAATTGCAAAACGGTTGAAGCATAAAAATGAATTCCGAAGTAAATACTTTTTAACAAGCTTCATTAGACAAGCAGGAGGACAAAACTTATGAAATACGTAAATGTATCATAATTTTTCAGCAAGTGTTGTTTGCATTTAATTCTCTCAACCAAATACTCCAGTGCGCAAGTGCGCAAGTGCACACGACAAGACAAGACAAGAAAAGACATTTGACCATTGGCTTCCTTACTGACGGTCGCAGTGCTTTTTTTTTATTGCGGCCATTACTATTTTGTATTCAGGCAGTTAATTTCTTGCCAAAGCCATAACGAACTGTAATCTCGCAGCGGACATAACTGAAATTCCATATAAGTATGCATTCAGCCTTTGCCAATGCACTACTGACCTGTCGCGACACCGTGTCGTTGCCGTTGCTGTTGTCGTTGTCGTCTTTTGGTCTACGTACCTATTACTCGGACCACGAAAGCCAGCTGCGGATACCAGAAGTCATGTGAAACATTAGAAAAGAAAACTGCATACAACTACACTGGCTTGGCGCATATTTTTAGAGATAAACTGCAAAGAATTTTTCAACGACAACAGCAGCTTTCAGTTGGCATATTTTCTACTTTAAGTATCGTAAACTTAAAATAACAAAAATCAAAATAAAACAAAAAAATTAAAATTAAAAAATATACAAAAAAATATTAAATAAAATTAACGACATATGCTTTACTGCTGTCATTTTTAATTTTGACCGTAAAAATGTCGTCAACACTGTTTACGATAATAGCAAAATCCGGTACAGTTTTTTATAAAAATTTCAAAGGCTTCCATCAATTCGTATTTCATTTGAGCAATTATGTTCAAGCGCTGGCCTGTCAGTTTATCCGCGGAGGCCGCTCAATAATCGCACCACCACAAAAAGTTGTAATAAATTTTATGGCCGTTCTTATTGTTGTTGTTGCAGTTGCAGTTGCAGTTGCGCATAGAACCGTTGTTACTGAAATTCTAAAAACTGATAGATATGCGATCGAAAAAAAAATCTGTCTAGAAAAAGTGTTAAAAAAATATTAGCACATTTGGATTTATTTCGAGCTATGCAACCGTTGAGCTGTACATATTTAGGACCAAACAACCTTGCCGTCCGTCTGAGAATTGGTGAATTGCAAAAAAAGTACCTTGTTCGGTTTTGACAGCAGTTGCATAACTTAATTTCATAAGACCCAACATTACCGATATTAGCAAAAAAAAAAAATACAATTGAAATTTTTATGGTCAATGTTCTAAAAGTAAGACAAGTGTTCCATTTTGTTGTGTCTATTGGCGGCTGCTGAATTCTTTTTGGCCTACTTGATTCGATCGTTTGCTGCCTTATTTCTCATGCTTACTGAGCGCATATCATAGATGGATTTAGATTAGAAAAATATTATTTAGCGAAAATCAAAAATAAAAAGAAAAAATCCCAAAAAAAAAAATTCTGAATTAGAATGTAAATTGATACTTTTGCTTACAGTTAAAATTTTTTATTATTATTATGATTATTCATTTTTGCATATCAAGATTTTTAAATATGCGAACCACTTAACACTTGGCCATTTAGGAATTTCATTTTATGGTTTATTTGATTTCAATTGCGATAACTCTAGGCCATTTTATATTCAATACTTCTGCAGAAAAGACATTAAATTTTAATAGTATAAATATTTAAAAGTTATTAAATTTATTGCTTCCATTATAAAATTATAGCCCATTTGTATCTGTAGATTTATCGAGCTTCCTAGTCTATAAAAATAATCCTTGAGTATATAACTGCTAGTGTCGTTTGTAATGTGAGTTAGGAAAATATTCCATAAAATGTTATTTACTGCAGTTTACCTCACTAGTTACTATGGACTTGATTAATTTCATTAAAGCAATCATAATTTAATATTTAATAATATTTAATATTATAATTATAGTTTTAAAATTTTATTATAGCAGATAGAGTGATTTAGTCTATTTAGGATTGCTAATCTAAGTGTATTGCCATTGTTCTTTTGATCATGAATCTTAAGCTGCGAAATATTCAAAGCGAACTTCTAATTTTTTGTTGCATTCTATATCAGTAACTTAAACTAAGTAAATGTTTGATCACATCTAATTATTATTATGTTTACTTTGTTTATCACTTCATTAGACTAAGCAATAATTGACCTCAGATTTACATACGTCCCGAGGAGCCTGTAACCATTTTGAGATTCGATAACGCGGTGTTAGTAAGCCTGTCAGTTTTCGTAAATAATTTCAGGGCTCTGAGGATGACAATCGTCCTAATGTACCATGGTACTTTGAAGTAGTAGCTTGCGAAGTACTATTTTTTATATTATGCGCCGTGAGTGTGAATTTAGAGTAGTTAACTAGAATAATTGTTCTCTCAATTGTGAATTTGGTATTTAAGTTTAATGGTATTATTCGAACAATTAAAAATAAGAACTTACCATTTCTTATTCTTAATTGTTCGAATATTCGCATATCTGCCATTAGTAGTGGACGTTGTCTTCAGCAAAGAGAAAGATAGTGCTGTTTCGATGCAAATCAATGATATGGAAAATATTTAGTACATTGTCCTTTCAATTCAAGAGACCTCTAAGTAAGACTACTGATCTGATATTTCATTGCGTTTTCTCATTTTTTTTCGAGCAACGCAGACGTAGAACAAGATCAGTCTCATTATTTGTATTTAAATAAAAAACATATTTTATTAGATAAGTTTGCGACTATTTAAAAGCGGGCACAAGTGTTAAAGTGTTTGTGTTATCTGAAATTGTTTGATGCCCACGTGGTTTGTTTAGAACAGTGGCTCTCAACCTAAGCCACTTTATGATCCTAAAGGGACCACAAATTTTAAACTTAATAAACTGTATGATTATTTGAACTTGTTTTATGCATGTCTGGTATAATGTATATAATTACTTGGACATTTTTTATGCTTATTTTCTAATAAGTGAGGTGTCAGTGGACCTCAGTACAATCTCAGTCTCAGATCTCAGTACAAGTTATGTATCCATACCTGTTTAATTTGATTCATGAAACATTTTTAACAATTGAGAACCATTGGTCTAGAAGAACTTTTTGTCAGAAGTAAAGTGTAAGCATTTTAGGGTATTCCACCGTTTTAAGTAAGTGTTGTTGATATGTGATTCTGGGGGAGATTAATTTTCTTCTTAGTAATGTGTATTTTCTATTTTCGTAAGATATGCAGTAGTGCACCGATGTACATGGTGTTTTTTATGTTGTTGGCTATTTTGTTTGAGAAAACTATATAGGTGTCATAAGGTCTATAGTTTCTTAATTGGTATTGCGTCTACGTCAGAAGTTTAATTTTTTCATTGTCACACTAAATTATTAACTTGCCGCCTTACACTATAACTTCCTGAAGTTAATTAATTTACACATCTGTGGGGATTGCACCCCACGTCGGGAAATATTGGTGTGTAAAGCAAGCAATGCTGGTCTGATTCTTGGCGTGTCAACAATATGGTATAGAGTGGGAAAAAGTAGGAAACATTATGATGATCCAGCTTCTATTAATCAGAAGCATGAGTATTTGTTGTTAATTTTCATCAGATATATTTTGTTTTGGAAAAGCTACTCTGAGCGAGTTTTTGAAAATTAATGCAAATTATCTTATGTGCTTCCATTGTATCTAAAAATATTTTAAAGACATCGAACGTTAAAACAGCACATATCTGTCTAGATGTATTAGAGTTTGACTTTTAAAATTTATATTTTTAATATATATAACAACAATGTTATACATAGAAACAAACCCTTTCATATAAGTTACGTTCTGTACTTAAACAATTGCAGAAGATCTCATGTAGTAAATTGGTGGTGGTAGACTCTGCCACTGTTATTCCTATCAGTATTATCTACAATATAAACACTGTATCTTGTACCTTTTAAAATTTAAATATATTTAATTATAATAATTATATTAAACAATGTACTAAAACAACTATAAATAGACTAAACTATAAGTTCTGACGTCTAAATCGCAAAACAAGTAGTTGTATATGATATATTTTAAGATGTTTTGTTTCATCGTGGACAACAAAGTATTTAGAACGTTCTGAATAGTTTTAATAGATACAAACCAGACAATATTACATTGGGTTCAAACGCTGTATCCTGTAATCGAACATCTTCAATGGTTGAAACTTGAAAATAATCCCTTGAATTATTAATAAATATTTAAATCTTTGCGAAAATTAGTTAGTTTGGAATTTATTGCAAATATTGATTCCAGACCTAGAAACTAATTTACCTGAATTAGATAATAATTGGAAAGCTATAACCACTTCTTGGCTTCGAGGCTTCTTGGCTTCAATGTATTTTCATCATGTCAAATATTTATCTAGGTAAATTTGAAGATTTGAGAAGTTGTTTAACTGCAATATAGCAACACTATTACACAACATAGTATGTTAGGACATGTTTTCGTTCACAATCTGGATTTTACAATGTAATATGCTGATATATCTGTTCATAAATTTTAACACGCCAATTAGCTAACCACCTTTTGACAAGCTTTAATTGCTGTCGCAGTGTCCGGTATTGGTAATTATTGAGTACATTTTTTAATTACTGTTATAAAAATCTATACCATAATATATCATTGGAGACTTAATAGTTTTGTCAAATAGAAAAATGATATAATTACGAATAATGTCTTATGAGAACATATTAATAAAAATATTGCTTATATTTGAAAACTGGAATTTTATTTACACTTTCTAAAATAAATAATTTTCTCTATAATTTTTTGTTTAATTTTACATTAAATTTTTTACTATAAAATAAATTTCACATTTTCACTAATTGTCACCAGTCATTCAAAAGTTTAAAAAAAATTTTGTACAAATAATTGCGTCTGAATTTTTTTGAGAATTTAAGTTATTAATCTTCTTCCTCTTCTTCTCCCTCTTCATCGGCTTTAGCTTCTTGATACATTTGATATTCATTAATGACATCATTCACGTTTCGCTCGGCATCAGCAAATTCCATTTCGTCCATACCTTCGCCAGTATACCAATGTAAGAATGCCTTTCGTCTAAACATTGTTGAAAACTGTTCCGTTATTCGCCTGAGAATCTCTTGAATTGCAGTCGTATTTCCTAAAAATGTGGCCGACATCTTAAGGCCACGTGGTGGTATATCACACACTGCTGTTTTACAATTATGCGGAATCCATTCAGCGAAATAAGCGCTATTTTTAGTTTGTATGTTAAGCATTTGTTCATCAACTTCCTTCATTGACATACGCCCACGGAAAAGAGCTGCGACTGTTAGATAGCGACCATGTCTAGGATCACAAGCAGCCATCATATTCTTAGCATCGAACATTTGATGAGTTAGCTCGGGTACTGTTAGCGCTCTATAGCATTGAGATCCGCGGGAAGTAAGCGGTACAAATCCTGGCACAAAGAAATGTAAACGTGGAAATGGTACCATGTTTACAGCCAACTTTCTTAAATCCGCATTTAATTGACCCGGAAAACGTAGACACGTTGTAACACCAGACATGGCAGCTGAAACCAAGTGATTTAAATCGCCATACGTAGGAGCACATAATTTTAGTGTACGATAGCAAATATCATATAATGCCTCGTTGTCAATGCACACCGTTTCATAAGTGTTGTCAATCAATTGGGACATACTCAGTGTGCAATTATATGGCTCTACAACTGTGTCGGAGACTTTTGGAGATGGAAGAATGGAAAAACTTAACAAGACACGATCAGGGTATTCTTCTCGCAGTCTTGTCATTATGAGGGTGCCTAAACCAGAGCCAGTACCCCCTCCAAGTGAATGCACAAATTGGAAACCCTAAATAAAAAGAGTTACTTATACGTATCACAACTAAAATAAATAAAATTTACTATAGTAGTTCAGGCGATTTTTTAAAATCAAATAAAGTTTGCTTATGCTGTCAAAAATTGATGTTTAAACAAACAATTTCTTTTGAATGCAAAATCTTTCTCAAGTTTCAAAAAATACTCTTAATCTTTAATGGGATATTACCTGAAAACAATCACATCCTTCAATTTCTTTTCTAATGATGTCCATCACAGATTCTAAAAGTTCAGCACCTTCAGTATAAAAGCCTTTCGCCCAATTGTTGCCAGCACCTGATTGTCCAAACACAAAATTGTCTGGTCGATATATTTGTCCAAAGGGACTTGATCTTACTGAATCCATTGTGCCCGGTTCCAGATCAACTAATATAGCTCGCGGCACATATTTTGCTTGAGCTGCTTCATTGTAGTAGACATTTATTCGCTCAAGTTGTAAGTCACTGTCGCCATAGTAGCAACCATTGCAGTCGATACAATGCTCGTCTGATATCACTTCCCAAAATTTAGCTCCAATTTGATTGCCGCATTGGCCAGCCTGAATGTGCACAATTTCACGCATTTTTAAAAGAAAAATATGAGAAAATACGAGTAGAATTTTTTGAATTTGTAAATAGCGAAGCACCGCTAAAAATTTTTAATATCAAAATTGACTTTGAAATTTGGTAAAGAAATTTATCAAAATATATAATAAATTGCTTGGAACAAAACTAGAAACCAATTTGACGAATAAAAAAAATAAATGAATTAGGATGAAATGTATTTAAACTTTATGTTTTATATTAACTTAAATTCTACGATTACTACAGAAAGATTTATATACGTGAATGAAATAACTTCACTGACTACCTTTTCACTATAAATACTACTAAAAACTATGCTTGACCATAGGTTCAAAATATATTCTAAAAAAGTAGTTGCACGGAGGACACATCACTGTTCTCTTTTAAATAAATAAAATATCACAACGTTGAAGTTATCAGTCAAAATTTCTTTTGGAATAATTCTTGAACCTAAGGTGGTCAATCAAAGTTATTAGTGATCAATTATAGTCAAAAACTGAGCAATCGAATGCCACAAAAAGATTTCAGTTTTTTTAAGGGTGAACTTCATAGGCCTTGTTTGTAAGTACTAATATAAAACAAAGCCGTATGTTGAGGCCCTATACTCTACTGGGAGTTAACGGAACAACGAAGATAAGAAGAATATAAAACGAAACGAAATTAAATGCCACATAGCAAATTCACCGTTCAAGAAGTTCAAACATCTTCGAGCGGTCTTCGAAGGAAGGAATACTTTAAAAAGAAAAAGTTTCGTTTTAATATTTTGTAGTAAAAGAAACAACAAAACACTTTAATGACTACGTTCATCATTAATCCTGTATATCTCTTAACCTTTTGTGGCCGTAGAAAATATAAAGTCCATTTTACATTTTATGTTCTCATGTGTTATAAAATCTGTACATATAATTTTTTAAATAAACAATAGGTCATTGGTTTACAACCGAGGTTATCTTGGATCTTAAATACCTGTAAATCTGCATTCTTTTTCTTGTTGTCCTTCTCTCCTAAACGGAGCATAGGACCTTAAATCTGCATTAATGACTGAAAAAGACAAAATATAACATCAAATACAAAATAAAAACCATGTTTTCTCAAAAGTTTACCAGAAAGACATCAATAAGTTTGTAAAACAAAACTCAAATTCAATAATACATGTATTCTACTGTGGTTTCGTGTAGGCACGATCCTCTTCTTTCTGCACAATTTGTTCCAAATTTCTAAAGTGGTAAAGTAGAAGTCAAGTATAAGTACTGAAATATTCATTCGGTGAGTATTCATCATTGTTCTGTTCTAATCTCGTGTTGAGTTCTGTTAAGCTACTTTCATCAATAAATAATCAAAAATGAACAATGTTTTAACAATGTCCTTCTCTAAAAAATATCATGCAGATGTTACTGTATTTCAGTATTCCAAAACTGTCTTCTATACGATGTTAAAATTTGCCTAATATTAGTTTATGATTTATGATAAGATATGTTTTAATTTCAATTGGTCTATTAAAAATGCATGTACGATATCGCAAAACAATCTTTTCTTTTTCCGTCCTTCGTCTTTTATACTGAAATTCATTATTATTTCAGCAGATCTCCAGCTAATTCTCTCCCACCTTTCTTCTAAAAAGTTATCCTGCTTCAGCGTAGGTAGCGTAGTAGCGTGTGAGGGACGTTCACTATTTGTAATTACCTTGGTTTATTTATTTTTTTGGGCTTAAAAAAATATACTAATCCTAGTTTTTAATAACTGTTAATGGTGTTTTCTAAATCACACCATCAGCCACTAATATTTATATAAAAATATACATTGCGTATTTGGCATTTCATTATAAGTGTCAGTGGTATGAATATCGCGTGTGCCTTTTACGTTCACATCCCCATCCTCATCGTTATCGTCCAATACTACAATGTTCAGATTCTAATTTTCATTAGCTTAGTGTATAGAGGATAATATGCTCCAGTTAATCCAAATGGATTTTGGATATGTCTGTTGACGAGTTAATATGCTTGTATAAGAAAGCTTATACTGTAACTGGTGTGGAAATCAAAGGGGTAAGTCTTGTCTTTTAAAAATAATAACTTTTGATTAAAAATTGTATGTCCTAAGAAAAGAATTAAAAATGTTTGTTTAAAATGATAATAGTTTTTCTAATTAATTGAAAAGCAGATGCTCGACACCAATTTTACGCTTTACCAAAACAGTCGTATCATTATCGTAATTTTGCCACAAGATTAAAGCCTTGAATTTTTTCACATTTTACTGCCAATTAAAAATAGATAATAATTATTTACCTGCACAAGCACTTAAATTTATTATCTCTATTCAAAGCGTTGGGACTTATAGCTTTTAGTATTATTTTGTAGTTTGTGGTTATAGTTCGCACATGCTTAACAGACAAAAGCCAGAAAGATGAATTTGCATAAATTCAATCAACGAAGTGAGCAGCCTGCAGATTGCATAAGAACCAACGATAACACGTTACCAAGATGCCATTTAAGCGATATGCGCACATGAAGTTGATTGAATGCCACGTTGGAGTGGATCGCGCATGCGCCCACACTGTTAAATGCTGCGTGGCATTACGAGTGACAAGCCAAGCTGTGGCAAAATTGGCTTTTGTTGACTTCGACTTCGACTCAGCTTGGCAACTGCCTGCTCAAATGTGCGAAAATATGTCAATACGCAAATGAGAAAACCCATGCAAATTCCAACGGTTGCAACCTCGCCAACACTTCCACTTTTCCTGCATCATAAACTGTAAACTGTAAACTGTACTGTGTTGCACTAACGGTGATGGTGATGGTGACGGTGACGGTGACACTCACCACAGTTCATAGATACAATATTTTGGATTTTAGTACGTTAAGTTTTATTATTGCCGAAGTTGGTCATTGTAGATGGTACATTGTGTGGCTTTGTTTAGGATATGTCACCAATTGTTCCAGTGCGGCCGCAACTATTATAGTCAATTCAGTGTCTTTTAATTTATAGGTAACATTTATGTTTAAGCAACACAAAGTACAAAAACAATTCAATTTTATTTATATAAATGCAAATTGCAGATAAGTTGCAGACAGGAAGGCAGGCAGGTGGTTCTTTTGGTTGGTTAGTTGGTAACGAGCTGGGCTCTTGTTTTTTTCTTTGGCATGATTTTGAGGAACGTCACTCTTGTTAGCAAAACTAATGACGATTGGTTTCCTGCATCAGCCACAAATGCCATAAAATCCACAAAACAGCTAGCACTCGTACACGTTGCAAATGGTGGGCGTTTAATATTTAAATCCAATTTACAATGGTAAATTTTATTCAAATTTTTACAAGTATGGGAGCAAGAATAAAAGATATTCTTACGTTGATGCAGTGCACAAATTGTTTATACTAATCGGGTCATTAAATTGTTTAGATTTAAGATAGTAACTAAAGTTATATTAACGGTTTATGGTGGGCAACTCAACATTGTTGTCATACGAAACTCTGCACTCGGTGGGAAATAAATTGATATTTTAATCAACTTTGCTTTGAGAACCTTGACTAGATTGACATTGAATTGAATTTGTGTACGTACTCTGTGGGAAAAAATGTTATCTTAGTAACTGCATATATATTGCTTAATTATTGGTGAATATCGTGTTCTTTCATAATTTAATTATAGCACAATTACATTTCAAGTCCGTCATCATTGAGTTATGTTTCTCTAGCATGGACAATGTTTTAACCACATTTAAGTCATTTTGAATTCAATTCCGTTGATTTCTTCTGCAAAGAAAATTATACTTAGTGTATAATATACTATAATAATTATTTACCTTAGAAGGGAATGTGATTAAAAAATTAAATAAGGTTTTAATTGCCATTTTCAACTCAGAACTATATAATTTCTATAAAACTTCTTTCAAAGTAAAGGAACTCGTTATTGGATTATATATATTAAATAGTTAAACTTGATTCTATAATTATATCAAATATTTTTTAATAGATTAAATTATTAATTCATGCGCTATTGAAGGAAATGCAAGTGATTTCCACATACAATGTATTATGTTGAGGTGGAAAGATTGTATTTGTAAGATAGATTGTAGATATAATCGTATTATTTCTTAATTTAGTATATAAGAATGTAAATTTGGAAAATAATAATTAAAAATTTTACATAAACACAAAATTAACATTTTAGAATCGATATATAAATATAATTTAAATAAGAAGTTATCTCAAAAATATAACTATAAATTATTAAATTAATAAAATTTTAATAACTTAATGTATGGTCAGCCAAAAATTCATTTAATTAAAATAATATCAAATGAATTTTTGTTGTTGTAGTTCACTACTGTTCGAAGAAACCTCTTTATGAAATATAATAAGTTTCTATTAAATATAATAGTCACTTCCGTCTGAAAAATTTGACGTTAAATTACAACTGATATAATATAAGTATATAAATAATTTATATACATTTACATTATTTTAGAATTAAGACATTCTATAATAATTTAATAATAAATAAATTTAATTATTTATTACAATAGATTTTTTATTGTAAAATTTTTGTGGTTCAGGATTATCTACTATCGGGATAAATTTATTAAATCTTTATGTATAATAATATAAATATCTATTAAACGTATTGGACATGAAAATTGCATCAGAATTTATAACAATCAGATTGCGTCTTTATATGATTGCATATATATATCACTTTAGATGACTGAGTTCGGTCTTGCTGTTGATGTGCGCAATTTGTTTGCACCCTGATTCCAGTGACAAGTTGAAATTGATTACATAAGCTTATAGCTACCGGCCCCTCTTCATTAATTTGAAACTCGAACTCACATTAAATTTTAACTGGGTGATCATCTTCGGCGAAAAAACCGTATAAGGAGAGCTATTCGAAATACCACATGCTTGGGAAAAAAGAAGTTAAAAAAATTTCTCATTAGTGTAATAAAATTGGTGGTAAAATTTCTATAGAGGTTTTATCTGTTCTTTATCAAAATTTGAAGCCATAGTACTTATAGTTCTTATACTTTTTTTAGAGGGTTTCGATTACCAAAGAAAGAAAGGACAAAAACCAAAATTTAGTTAATTTATTAAAATTTGGTTGACAATACAACGCTGTTTCGAGTATTGCCAAGTACTCATCATCAGTGGTTTTAGGAAATATTCGAATTTCTTAATTGG